TAAAGCTAGATCCAGCTCTCAAGTCTACCTGTAACTGGCATAGGAACACACAAGAGACGGAGAGAGAGAGAAAACAAAACCAATGTGTAGAACTCATCCCAGATGGAACACACAAAGACAAGCAACACACAAGACATGACACAAAGCAAAATGACACCAAAGACAATGACAACACAAGTGGGCTCATTCAGAGGTTCACCAGTTTGATTAAAGAATTTTTCTTAACAAATAAGAGGTTTTCTCAGTTACCTTCCTGCATAAACCAGATGCCAGGAACCCACATGTCTTAGTTTGGGTTTCTATTGCTGTGAAGAGACACTATGATCATGGAAATTCTTTTTTTTATAATTTTTTAAAGATTTTATTTATTTATTATGTATACAGTCTTCTGCCTGCATGCCAGCAGAAGGTGGTTGTGAGCCACCATGTGGTTGCCAGGAATCAAACTCAGGACCTCTGGAAGAGGAGTCAGTGCTTCTAACTGCTGAGCCATCTCTCCAGCCCCCGCTCATGGCAACTCTTATAAAGAAAAACATCTAATTGGAGCTGTCTTACAGTTTCAGAGATTTAGTCTGTTATCATCATGGTAGGTCATGGCAGTGTGCAGGCGCACATGGTGCTGGAGAAGGAACTGAGAGTTCCACGTCTTGATCCAAAGTCAGCAGAAGGAGAGTGTGTCACATTGGCCAGGCTTGAGCTTATAAGACCTCAGAGCCTGCTTCCACAGTGAACACCTACTCAACAAGGCCACACCTACTTCAACAAGGTCGAACCTCCCTATGGGCCAAGTATTCTAACACATGATTCTATGGGGGCCATTCCTATTCAAACTACCACACTACCAGAGCCTTCCTAAGTATGGGTTAGGCTTTCCCAGTTCACTTAGGCTGGGATCCTGGAATGCCTGATGTCCTGCACTGGGCCTCTCCAAACCCTGGGCTTGGTCCCCGGTGTCATGGGACATCCTTTCAGTTCATCAGCTCTGTTGTGCAGCCTAGGCAATGGGTGCTCAGGTGCCAGGCCTCTCTGATTTCTCAGCCCCCAATTTCACCAAGCTGTCCCCTGGGTCCCAAGGTGGGTCAGAATGGTGGCTCTGACTGAATTCTCAAGTAACCAGAAATAATCAGTGGGTAGTGAGCCATCTGCCTTTGCCCTGGACAAAGAAATGCATGACCTCATCAGGCACTCCACGTCACACCAGCTGTCCCCAGTTCAGGATCCCATAGAATCAGAAGAACGAGAAAACAGATGTCACAGAAAAATATAAAAGCTTCTATGACTTAACAGAGGAGGCCTCTGTAAAAGAAGAAAAAAAAAAGGTACTGTTTTTCTTCATTTTTGTTTTGTTTTGTTTTTTGTTGTTTTTTCAAAACAGGGTTTCTCTGTGTATCCCTAGCTGTTCTGGAATTCACTTTGTAGACCTGGCCTCAAACCCAGATAGATATCCACCTGCCTCTGTCTCCCAAGTGTTGGAATTAAACCACCTCCTGACTTTTCCTTTTCTTACCCCCCCCCCTTTAATGTAGCTGTTCACTCAGGCAGTCTGACAAACTGAAGTCATGTCTCAGGGCCTTGGAATATCTCTAAGGTATGCACCCCTGGAGAGCAACTCTCTGTCCTGGAGGGCCAGAGGGAAGAATCAGGCTTCTGAATTTCTGAATTCAGATTGGGGTCTTGATCTTACTGAAGAACTCCAAATGTTAATCCCAAAGATGGGAGGAGAAACACTACCAACCTGAATTATCGTGGCCAAATTAATTAAAGCAAGCTCTTTTTATTCGTGTACACAGGGTACCTGAAACCCCCTAAGGAGAAGTTAGAGAGCTCAGCATTGGATGTGAGGGAGACAAGACTTTTATAGCTCAGGGGTGGGGTTTTCCAAATGGGGGAAAATAGGCAGGGTTACAGGAGCAGAACATAACAGGTGGTCAAAACAAGATAATCACAGTTATGATTTGTGAGAATTTGGAAATCAAGTGTGCCAAGTTTTAGCCATTGATCTGTACTTAGGCCAAGTTGTGTGGGTCAAGGAGAGAGGGTTTCAAAGTGAAATTCTGCTGGGGGGAATTTCTACAAGCTTCCAGAGGGTGCTGAGTGAGTAGACGCTGAGGGACTGCAGCTTCTGGCTGAGAGATAGTATAGTGGGACTTCAGTTCCCAGGGGGAGGCGAGAGAAAGCTTGGAGAGCAGGGAAAAGGAAACTGGGAAGTGTCTTTAGTAGAGGGACCCAGCCAGGTGCAGCAGGCCAGAGCCTAAAAAGAGAAAGTTGCCCATGTGGTGGATGTCCTGAGGGCATAGCAGGGTCCAGGAGCCAGAGAGACACTTAGGACATGGGAAAGGAATGGTCACAGGTCAAGGAAGAACAAGCAGGAGCTCCACCGGAGGGAGTTTTCCAACATCATAGAAGCCACGAGGACATGGAGATGCTGCAGGACTTCCGGGAGGAAGCTGAGAGACAGGTCAGAGGCCATGTTAGACCCCCGAAAACTCAAGTATCCGGGGTCTCAGGCCAGGTTCGCGGTCACCCCAATCACCAGGCGGATTCGAGAGCTTGCTGCAAACTGCACGAGGCTTTATTGTAATTTAACGAACTAACCCCATGTTAGCTCGGGTCTTTCACCCACCCGACATGGCAGATGGCTCGAAAAGACCGCTCCTAAGGTCTCCCCAAAGATCTTATAGGGCAGCGTAAGGGGAGTGTCTAGGGGTACGCACAGGCTCA